ATTGGTAGTTTCAAAGAAATAGTGGTATTTTTAAGCTTCTGCATATTTTTTTTTCTTTATATCGAGTGTAGAATTATCCGGCATTGATAAGATCATTATAAGTAATAAACCTCTGAATCATAGTACATCGTAGTAGTCATTATTTGCCTCTGAGGGAGGTTTGTTTTTTCTAACCTGTGTAAAATCATCGATGGTGTTCCTAGGAAATTCAGTTTTGAAAATTGAACAAATTTTCTTCCTCCTCACTTCTTCTGTAATTGTAACAATAGTTATTTAAAAATTTGGTGATTGTTAAGCTATCATTTATTGTTAAAATGAAGAAATACAGTAACTTTATGTGTTTAGTCCATAATCTACAGGCGTACCTCAGAAATATTGCAGGTTTGGTGCCAGACCACTGCAGTATAGCGAATTATAATCTTTTTACTGGTTGAGGGTCTTGCCTTCAGTTTGTTAAAGATGCAGCATGTGTGAACCGCAATAAAACGAAGCACAATAAAACAAGGTATGCCTGTATTTATAGCAAAGGTACCAAAGTTTAACAAAATTAAGCTACAGACTTTAGTGTTCACCTGTGTAGTTTTTAGGCATGAAGTAATTTACCTTTAGTTCAGTAAAACTGAAGGGTTAAAAATAGCAATTTTAATCCAAAGATAACATAGTATGCATAGTATTTTAAAAAATCACTAGGTGCCTATTAATGAGCTTCAAATAATAACTATTATTCTAATAACATTGCCCTACCCTGGATCAGGAAAATAAGTACTTCTGACCCTAGAAATTGTTATTGTCATTTTATAGCCTTAAAATTGAAGAATTTCTTAGTGTCCTGTGAGTTAAATTTTATGGCAATGTCTTGTTGGGTCAGAAAACTATTAAAGTCAAGAGGTAAGATTATTCCTTTTTCTATTGGACTTCCATTATTTTACAAGTGGATTTTTTTCCCCTTCATCATCCTGATTTTTCAGTAATCTAATAGAAACCTAGCTTATTCCAAAAATCTAGTAAAGAGTTACAATATAAAATCTTTGTTTTTTTTTTAAAGAAAAGTATTTTCCTTCCCTTTCTGCCATTTATCCATTTAACAGAAACTTAACTGGTACCAACTATATGCCATTTATCTTGCTGGGTGTCATAACAGTGCACTGAACTAAATCCTGGTATTGTCTTTTTTTAAAGAAGTTGGTGGTCTAATGTGAGACAGAGAGACTAACCAAGTAATCTACTCATAAATAAAATTAAGTGATGGAGGAGAAGGCCAGGGTTTTTAAAAAGCTGGAAAAAAAAGAAAATGGACCTAGGCTGGGGAGTTTGGATAGGCTTCTCAGAGAGAGCCAGGCTGGATCTGAAGGTGAAATGCATGTGTAAGGTGATGGGGGAAGGGACAGTCCCACAGAATTTGTGTGTTCTGCACAAATACATTACTTCAAAACTGAGAGTGAGGTAAGTCAGATATTCTTGCTCTTTCTGAAATATTCATAGATTATCACTTTTAAAATATTTTCTCACATTTTGAAATTTTAGAGAATGCCATGGCTATTTAAGCTAAAATTTTCAAAGCATAAAATATTCACAAATCCTTAGTCTGATTTTTCTTTACCATACATTGGTATTTGAGTCTTATCAGTAGGATTTATAATAAATAAAAGATAAAAATTCTCTTTTCTATGGCAAGAGATAAAATCACAAACTATGTGAATAAGGTGACCTTATATTTGTGGTACTTTGTGTATTTGTGAAAAGAGTCTTAGGTAAGAATCTTTATTATCCCATTTGTGTTTTCTAAAGTAGTATTTGAATTTACATGCTACTTAGGTCTATTAGTTGATGTTTGCTTTGTAATCATATAATGATTAGAAACATCTAACTCATTATTTAATATTTTCAGTTAAAAGTTGCAAAGGTCGCTGTTTTGAAAGAACGTTTGGAAACTGTCGCTGTGATGTTGCTTGCGTTGAGCTTGGAAACTGCTGTCTAGATTACCAGGAGACATGTATAGAACCAGGTAAAAATGTGCAGGGGAAAAAAATGGAATATAGGCTTTAGCAGTGAAAGATCAAAGCAATGTTCTGCATCTTTTAGGTATGTGATTTGCCTCACTCATTTGAGATTTTTAAAAATTTGGCCTTTATGATTTTTTGGAGGAAAAAATTTTTACATATTTTGATTTCATTAAATATTTTATGGATAGCAAAACTGTGCCTGTTTTTAATGTATGCTGAAAGCCTGTACAGGCTAATTTATGTTTAAACTAAGTTCAAAAAGTCTACTTGAAATATGTGAATGTTTTCATTATGGGCTTATAAAAGCAAGAGTTCTTAGATGTCCACTTCAACTTTAAAATAAAATCATCAGAACATGGAAATTTTTCTCATTTTGTAGGCTTCTCTACATATTACATGGAATAATATTTAAATGGGACCGAGCCAGATTTAGATTAGCATTTGAGAACCTCGAAAATGGCTGGTGGAAGAAGCCAAGATCTATAGATAAATCATACAATGATAATTATGTTTGTCCACATTTTAAAGTGAGATTCTGGCATTTTAGTGAAATAATAACAATTGTTACCTGCATGTTTTCTGTCTGTTAGTTCTGATTGACCACTGTGGTGGCAGTTTCTATAAGTGATTACGAGTTATGAGCTAGTTCACTGTCTTTTACAGATCTTGCTTCAGAAGACAACAATTTAGTTTTCACTTTGTATGTGTTAAGTTTGGACCATGCAATTAATTTTGTTGATATTTATTTCTAGAACACATATGGACTTGCAGCAAATTCAGGTGTGGTGAGAAAAGGTTGTCCAGAAGCCTCTGCTCCTGTACAGATGACTGCAGGGACAAGGGCGACTGCTGCATCAACTACAGCCCTGTCTGTCGAGGTCAGGTTTTCATGTGCTCAGCAGGTTCTACAGCAACCTGACATCTTCCTAGGTTTTAGCTGGGTTTTGCATAGGTGTTATTTTTTACGTTGAGTCATATTTATTGTCCAACTATATTAACTGAAGAAATATTTTTAAAACATTTTGTTTTCAAGCATATACATTAGTGGAGAGAGAATGTGTAATGAACCTTGTATCCACACTCAGCTTAATAATTGTTATCACACATGGCCAACCTTGTTTTATCTATAGTCACTCATTTCCTCATGTTATTTTGGTATTAGTTACACATTTATTTAATGCCGTATTTATGAAAAGATTGTTCTGGCTAACGTCTATGTCCCAGGTTCTGTTGTGAAAAATGAAGATAAAGTCTGCCATACATTGAGAGAGTAGATGTGAAATTACTGCAAAAGATTTAGGGGTATAATATAAACTAATGTTATTACGAGGTCTTGTCTAAGTGTTACAGAGTTCCTTGAAATTCCTTGACAGAATCTGGCTTTTTATGAGAAGAACTAAGACATCAAGGATTTAATACCAGATGATTTTGTTGGGTAGATAGAATGAGAGTTGTAAATTTTGGCTAAAAATGTTAACAGTTGGAAAAGATGCCTTCATGTTCTCACAAATAAAGTATTGTGTTTTAGTCTTGCAATTATACATTCATTTTTTCTTCCTATCAATTAACTCTTTGGAAACAGATTTTTATTTTCAAACAGATTACCTCCCCTTTTTCATTATATTTCCCTAGAATCATATTCCATATTTCCTATGTATCTGTTAACACATTTTGTTTTTAAAATCTGTCCTAATGTGTATCACCGGCATCACAATTGTTGTTACTGTTAAGTGTGTTCAACTCATTTTATTTCTTGAAAATATTTTAGGTGAGAAAAGTTGGGTAGAAGAAACGTGTGAGAGCATTAATGAGCCACAGTGTCCAGCAGGGTAAGATGATATTCTGAGATATAAATTTTTTCTTTTTCTGTTTCTAAATTGAAAAGAAAATATAATAATAATTATTTGTTGGTTCATTAAACATGATTTAAATCAGGTCTCAGTCATGTTTAGCACTGGTGGTATAGAGTGGCATGACCCCCACTGTAGAAGCTAGTGGAAAAAAGAGAGGTCATGATTATTTCATCTTAATACTGGTATTCATGAGTGTTAGGTGGAAGTATTTATATCTTTTTGGAAAAGATGCCCCTTTCATTTGGAGTTATGAGAGTTGAACTTGTAGCAAATTATAGCTTTTTATTTTTGTATTTTGTTTTATACATAAATTTTAGGGATAATCAACATGTCTGGGGGATAAATTTTAGGATGTTGCATAGTTTTTATGATTCTTTTCATCCTTAAAGTATTTTATGAAAGGTGTTAGATATATTTAGCTTTGCTGCACATGAGATCTACCTCATATAATTTGAATTATTCATCTTCAGAAATATATTTCTATCTCTTTAAAACGATTTTTTCAAACTATTAAAAATTTTAAATCTGTATTTTAGCTTATTTTGTTTATGTATATAATTAATTTTGCTTTATAAGATGTGTATTATTTTTTCAGTGATGTTGACTCAGTGGAAAAATATAAATCCTCCTTTCTTTATAAGAAGATCATAATTTAGAATACATTTTATTATACCAGAAATTATTATACCAGTATATTTACCTAGTGGCCCAGTAAACTCGTTTTATGTTTTCTGTTGATTTAGTATAAATTCTCTTATATAGATATGGGTCATTGAGACTATTGCAGTTGCATCTGCAGAGTTGTCCAATAGCTATGGTACAAACCAGTAGTATAAATTGCGGTACCAGTTAGTGTAAATTATACAGAAATTTTCTTATTCCATTTGTGTTTGTATATGAGAGTAAGCTAGGGAGGAGATAGGCAAGGTGAGATAAGCATTTGCTTTCAAATTTAAAATTATTGAGTAAATTTTCAGTGGAAAGTTTTTTTATGGTAATCCAGTGGTATTCAACACCCCTGCCATGTACCAGATATCATTAGAAGCTGCAAAATTTCTGAACCATGCCTGTTTTGGTGTAGCCACGTAATAGTTGTCCATCATTATTCTGTGTGTGTGTGTGTGTGTGTGTGTGTGTGTGTGTGTGTGTGTGTTGTACTCGAGCAGGTAATTTTGATTTGTATTTTAAAAATAACCTGAACCTCCTTACCCCTCCCTCTCTCTGTACACTCTTTTTAAAAAATTTTAAAAAATTTTAAATTCTTTAATGTCACCATATATTTGACCACTTTTACCCCATCTACATCCCTTCTTCCCCCTCCCCTCTGGTAATGTATACTCTCATTGTTTGTTCATTCCTAGCTTTGGATCATTTCTTTGTTTATATATTTAAATTTAGTGAATACCTCTCAAACTTCTCTATTAAATGTTAATATATGTAAACTATGTTAAACATAAAAAGTAAATTTGTATATAATTTATGTGATATGAGGTGTTATCTATTAGATTCAAGTTGAGACAATATTAAAAAGTGGTTGTTCAGAAAAAAACATAATGGAAACAAAAATATAACTTAGAAAATGCTGTTTGTTAACATTTATTCTCCTGCAAATTGGGAAAGTAGTATTAGCTTTTAGTAGCATTTGGTCTAACTTTTGGAATAGTGGGAACTCTGAATGATGTCCTCTATATGGTGGCTCAAAATGGTATGCGTGCTTAATAAATACTATCTGATGATAGATATCTAATGAAATATAAAAGCATGTATGTGAATATAAATGCTTATAAAATACCCTGTATGAGGGTGCTTGCTGAGCTTGTTTGTTTACTTTAGGTTAAGTACCCACCTCAGTGGAAAATCTTCACTGGATCTGTGGCCAAGGAGAGAGAAAATCTTCACTGGATGTGTGCCTTTCTACTTCTTTAAACTTTTTTTTTTTCTTATTACCCAGGTTTGAAACGCCTCCTACCCTCTTATTTTCTTTGGATGGTTTCAGGGCAGAATATTTACATACCTGGGGTGGACTTCTTCCTGTTATTAGCAAACTAAGTGAGTAACTTCAGAGTTTACTATTGGAGTGTCACAGTTTTAGTGAGATAGACTAGGGAGGTAGTTGCTTTTTGGAAAAGTACTAGATGAACCTGTTTTGCAAAGTAGTTGAATGTGGTGATAAGGAACTAGCCTTTAATATTGTAATTACTCCGAAGCTATCTTTTAAAGACTTCTAAGATAATATAATTATCTTAGAATTTTTATCTCTTGGCATATATATATAGAAACAATATAAATAAATATATAAATGGCTATATAAGTATGTACTTTTTTCTTAGAATTTTGGATTTCTTTCCTGGAAATTTTATTTATTTATTATTTTATTTATTTAATAAGTATTATATCTTAAAATAGAATTTCAAAAATCAAAGGTATTTCTGTTATGATATTAGTAATGTAGACATAGAATATTTGCTCACTAGTTATCCTATAGTATCGTGTAGCATCTTTCCAATTTCTTTGCATCAATCAAGGCCTTAATTAAACAATTATGTTACTGATGCAATAGTGAATAGTCTTTTCTTAGTATTAATGCCAAAGTTTTAAATAATATTAGCCACCAGTAAAATGGGCATCCCTTGAATCATCATTGTTACTGAAAAAGGAAAAATTATACATGAGTGTAAAACTGTAGAATTGTGCTCATTATCAGTGATCAAATTTAAGTAGCTACAGTGTAATACTGGATTGACATAGAAGTATGTAAATACAGCTATTTAGTGTTCTGGAATTCTAAAATGTTATTTACCAGACTTGAGTATATGAGATTGATTTAAACATTAAAATTACTCTCAGTAAAGACGTGTACATTTATTGTCTTTTGTGACAAGCCAAAATAATTTTGGAAATCTTCTAAAAATTTTAGTTTTTAATTTCTACCTGAAAAAAAAATAGTTTTTGTAAATGACCATTTGACATAAAAAGTCTTCAGCAAATAGTTTGCAAAGGCAAGGAACACTCTGTTCTTATCAGCTAGGCCCATGGGCTTTGAAGCTTGAATCTGGCTCTTTGATACCATTAGGAGGAAAGTTTGTTTTAATGCACCAAATATGGCATCCTGAGTTCAGAATTAAGGAGCTATAGAGACCTATATGTGAAGTTTAAAAGAAATCAATACACAGTTAGCCTAATACTTAGCTTTGGATAATTGAGGAATGTAATATGATATTCTGAGCTATTTGGAAGGCATTGTGATAGAGAGACACATGTCAATCCCAGGACATTTTCAGTCAATGAGGTATTTGAAATGCTAGTATCGTTAGTTATATATTTCTTCCCCAATAGTAGATGAAAAAGAAGAGGAACGTGACACAAGGAGCATGACAGCAGGGCTAAATCAGGCACCGTCTGACTTCTGCACTTTCCTTGACTTGAAACTGGAAGATGCCCTTTGTCTTTCAGCAGTGTTGAGTGTGTCCAGAGTTAGCTACTTCTGGATCTATGAATTGGAACACTGTCACCCAGCTACTGCTTCACCCTTGTTTTAATTTTGCAGATTTAGCCAGTAGTGCAGTTTTATTGTTGTTATTTTGTTTTTTGTTTTGTTTTGTTTTGTTTTACTACCTCTTGTAATTTAGATATGTAACCAGTAAATAGTAACAAAGATCTAGCAAACATCATTATTATAAATGGTCCATCTGGAACTTAATGTTACTAATAAGTAGAGGATAATTATTTCATTGGCTTAATTATTTAAAAAAATTATTTTTTAACTAAGGCAAAAATTTGCTCTAATCTTAACATTGAATTTGAGTACACAGTGTTGCTTTATTATTCACTCTGAATTTTTATATGGTTATAAACTCCTCCTGGATTAATTTTTTTATACAATTTAGACTGCTATGGTACCAAAGCCAAATAAGATAAAGAGATGTCAGTTTATTAATAACCTTTAACTTTTTTTTCCTCTGTAGAAAACTGTGGAACGTATACTAAAAACATGAGACCAGTGTATCCAACAAAAACTTTCCCTAATCACTACAGCATTGTCACAGTAAGCTCCACATTTCAACTTTTCTATCTTCACAGAAGTTAGATGTAAATGCAGCATTTTTCAAGGGATTAATTAGATATCAGATCAGAAAAAAATTAATTTCTTTTCCAGTTGTATAGTTAAATGAGGAAACCTAGGTTCTGGTCATTGCTACTAACTAGCCCTGGCCTTGGAATGGTCACTTTACCTTCTGAGTCTCAATTTTCCCATCTGTGAAGAGAGATGATGAAAGACCCCAAGAAGTGATTTCTTGGTTTTCCTTTTGTTTTAAGATCTCTGATTCTTGTGTTCTGTTTTTTATTACTAGTTTTATAGCTTAATTTATTTGAGCCCCAAAACTCACATTCATGTGTTCTCAACTTGTCTTTCCAACCATCTTGATGTATAAGTGATTGAGCAAGTCAAGTCCCTCACTCTGCCTGACTCTGGATAGGATTATAGCTCTGTTTTTCTTTCAGTCAAAGCTTCCAGATTTAATATGAATCTAGGAAAAAAAAATGTAGAATTCATTAGGCCTTAACGTTGAAGAAGAAAATTTATACTTCAGCTTGTGTTGATACAAGCTCTTCTTGTACCAAACCAAAAAAGTTTGTTCTGCAGCAGTTTTTTTCAGCAATGCAGAAGGAAAACAGTGTACTTCCTTCAAAATTTGGGAAGCTGCCTCTTTATATAGAACTTTTTCCATAGCATTCCTACCTTATTATCTACTATTACATAACGTAAAATACAAATGCTAGGTAAAATACTGAGCGATTGGTTGTGTTTTGACAATAGCCATTGTTTTGTTTTTTCCTGCGTAAGCTGTGTTAAGTTCTTTGTAGCTTTGGTTACTTGTTTCTCTTTGATGAAATCATTTTGTGACTTTACCATTAAAACACTCTTAACTTGCATAAAATCTGTGTTTTATATTTTTTAGGGTCTTTATCCAGAATCCCATGGCATAATTGATAATAAAATGTATGATCCCAAAATGAATGCTTCCTTTACACTTAAGAGTAAAGAGAAATTTAATCCTGAGTGGTACAAAGGAGAACCAGTGAGTTGCTTGTTTGTTTTAGCTACTAGAATAGTTTCTTTAATTATTCTCATCTGTTTCAATCAGAGTAAAATGCCAGATTCCCTGGAGCTCTTAATAACCTACTTCATTTACTATGTCTGTGACTATTCTTTTGTAAATGGAGACTAATGCTGATAATCCTAAATGCTGTTTGTGTCATTGTATGATGAGCATAGTAGTAATTTCAGAACTGAGTTTGGGTTATTCCGAACCATTTTTCTTTTCTTCTTGATTCTAGCTTCTTGTACTAATAGCATATAGCAGTAGGTGAGTGGGGGTAATATTCTGATCTACACAAATATAGTTATTTCTGAAGGAGGTAAACTTTGACTTCATTTGCATATGCTAACTTAGAAGGTCTCTCTGTAATTTAGATGTGTCCTTTAAATTTTTTTCATTGTTACAATAATTTTATAAAGTCTATTTGGATAGACTTAATAATCCTCTTAGAAGGAAAAAGAGCATGATATTTAATTTGAAGTTTCTAAATTCAAATTTTAGCTCTGATAATTAAAGTTCTGTGACTTTGGGTAAATTATTCTTTCTGTGCCTCAGTTTTCTCATATCTATACTGTGGATAATACGTTAATACCCTCATTAGAGGATTGTGAGGATTATTTAAATTAATAATCTAGGATGCTGATAGGAATACTATTTAGATCTGTAATTGCCAATAACAAATGCTTAATAAATGTTAGTTATATAAGTAAAAATGCCAATAAATTAGGCATGTATATTTGTGAATTTTTCTTCTTTCATAGGGAACCTATCAAGTAGGGGCATGGTTCTAAAAGTTGTAAGAGTTGACAACTGACTTATGTCCATATTTTTTAGGTTAATTTAATTTCTAAATATTTAATTCTTTTTGCTCCTTTTCAGTTATATATGATTATTTTGCTGTCTAACTGCTATAGCTTGTTAACTTCAAAAACATTCTAGCACTTTAGAAGAATGTCTTGGCATCGCATGAACAGATATTTTCCTAAGAGATGAATATTTGCATAATTTCCTAACTTTCCTTAATTTTCTTCCCCAGATTTGGCTCACAGCTAAATATCAAGGCCTGAAGGCTGGCACATATTTTTGGCCAGGATCAGATGTGGAAATTAATGGAATTCTCCCAGACATCTATAAAATATATAATGGGTATGTATAGATATACTTTTTCTAGGACCTATTACATGAAGATTATCTCAGCCTATCTTTTTTATTAAGTCATAAGTGCTAACATTTGAGTGATATATTGGCTGAAAAATGAGACCTGTCATAATAAGGACTCCATCTCAAAGAGTTTTAGATAGGTGGTAAATAATAAAACAAGACAAGTTTTTTGTGTAGAGGTTTTCTAGAAAGCTTTGGTAATGTATCGGGGTTTGCATTTAGATCTTTGGGCAGGAATAAAAAATGAAGTCATGGTGAAAGTAGAGGGGTCTCAGAGTGGTGGTACTGCCCGTCTTAGCTCCAGGAAGGAAAAGAACTAGAGGAGGAGATGAAAGTATTAAAGAGAACACAGGTAGGAATGACTCTTGTGTAGAGATATTATTAAAAAGAAGATATTAATGGCATCTCTGAATTTGTATTTCCAAATTACTTCAGTAAATATGCCATCTACTGTGAAAAACCGATTAGAATAACCTCTGTGATATTCAAAATCCATGACATATTGAGGAAAAAAAACCACTTTTTTTCCTGGAAGACTCTCTTTGGGTAATTTCACAAAATCAATACAACAGTATATTTGGGGGTCAACAGAAAGGATCATGAATCCCAGACAAGAAACGCACAATGATTTTCTTTGGTGATCTTAGGCTAGTGTTAATTCTTATGGTTCACTTGAGGATAGTGCAGTGCTTCTTCCCACCTCATTATTTGCCATTATTTTTATTCCACGGATGATGACTGAGGTTTTATTGCCATGCACTGTACTAGGCATGGGGGATTCAAAGATTAGTGGCATATGTTCTCTGGCACAACCAGCTGTACTTGGGGTTGGGCAAGCTCGCATTCTGATGGAGTTGTATAGACCAAATCCTGTGCTCAGAGGAAGGTGTTATTAATGCTGCTGAGGAAATGTTCCTGGGGAACTGTCTGCTCATCATGTGCCTACTACCCACTTTTACTGAGTCATCAGTGAGAGAGTATATTGACATGCGGTTGTTTCATGTGGTAGCAATTGCTTTTCTCAGGTACAGGAAAAATATCCTCAAGTAGAGTATAGAAGCAAATTTTGAAACCCAGTAACGACTTTCATATGTGTAAAACTTAACTTTGGTTCCTTTGTTGGGAAGACATTTTTGGGTTTTCAAATAAAACTCTTACATTACTTCAAACACTATTGATGTATTTGATTGTTTTAGTCTTTCTTAATGCAATTTTGTTAAGAAAGACATATTTTAAACATGAACAATTGTTTCATTTTGTTATTCTTAATTTTAGTTCAGTACCATTTGAAGAAAGAATTTTAGCTGTTCTTAAATGGCTACAGCTTCCTACAAAGGAAAGGTATGCATTGTAAATATTCCTTTGTTTTACATAAATTACACAATATTTTTAAATAGACTACAAGAAAACTTTGGTATTGGCTGTGAGGTTTTATATCCAAGTGAACTCTTTAGTGAATTATTAGTCATATTTAGAAGAACTCAAAACCTGTAAGTTATTTCTCAGCAAATTTAGAAATGTTACCCTAGTGTTTGTATTATTTTTGTTCACTATCATTTGTTGAATTATTCTTTCTATTCTCTTTTACAATGTGTTCATAAAATATTACATTTTGATACTGTTTGATTTAGACCACACTTTTACACTCTGTATTTAGAAGAACCAGATTCTTCAGGTCATTCATATGGACCAGTCAGCAGTGAAGTAAGTACATTTTATCAGTGATTACTTCATTAAACCTGGTAACAGCTAACTGAACCTCGATTTGAAGTAGGTTACGAGACTGTTCTGTAAGATTCCATGATTTTTGGAA